TTAAAATATGCAACTGAATAAGAATATGAAATCTGTGAAAAACAGATTTTCATCTTTCAAGTTTTTCCCTAGTTGACATCAATTATATGAGCCTTTCTAGTTGAAACATGTTTTATCTAAACACATACCTCATTTATTCATAATCCATTTAATTATGTGAACCCCTATAATTATTTTTATAGAAAAATAAAGAATAATTCCACCTGGGACCAGCAGTTGGCATAATGGCTATGTCACTGGACTCCCATGTAGTCGACTGTGGTTCGAGTCCCAGACCCAGTGGCTTAAACTCATGCCGGGTGCATGTGCATGCATGCCCAAGATCCCAAGAGGAGAATGGAGGAGAAGGGATTGTGTTGTGGCCATCCCCCCTGGGGCGGGGGGTGATTTCTCGCTCTTTGTCTCTCTCTGTCTTTCTGGAGAGGGCATGTGCCTATAGCAAAAACCTCCCTCCTGCACCCACCCCCCAAAAAAACCCCCAAAAAATTCCACCTAAAGGGAATACGTATTTAACAAAACAACAACAGCAAAATTTTTGGCAGGGGAGAAATATTTTGCTATAGGCTATGTGCACTTGCCAGAGAGACAGAGACAGAGAGAGACAGACAGACCAAAAGCGAGAAATCTTCCCCCAAGGGGGATGGCCACACCATAATCCTTTCTCCATTTTTCTCTCAGGACTTTGGGCATGCCATGCACATGCGCCTGACATGAGTTCCAAGCTGCTGGGTCCAGGACTTGAACTGTGGTCAGTCATGTGGGAGTCCAGTGACGTAACCATTATGCTATCTATTGGTCCTGAAAAAATAATATATTGCTTAAAGGGGAAGTATGAGTCCCATTTCTCTTGCTAGTAATTCAAGTGCAATAGGCAATAGATGAAGCTGCATCCACAGTAACAGGCTTTCCCTGGCAGAATGTGTGAATTTCCCATGGGCCATCAAAGGTGGCTTAGCTGGAGCCTTCCTAAAGAGAACTGGCCGGAGAGGGCTTGCTTTGGGAGCAAGGTGACATAATGGAACAAAGATGGCAGAAAATGATGCCAGCCCTGGTTTGTACCCCATCAGGTTCAGCTCAGTGAAGCAGCTATATTACAGTTTGTTACTGGCAAAACTGTACATGAGACACGAGTAGAACTTTTTATTTTCTGTCTGAGACATGTAAACATTTTCAAACTTCTAAATTCTGACTTCAGATTTATGATACTAATTGGGGCTTCTTTTCATGAACTTTGCAGTTGATGGCAATATTACTAATTATAATAAACTGGATTTAAATTACTTGGGGAAAAAAAATCAAAGTATTTTAGAAGTATCCTTCTACAAAGCAATTTTATCTGGTGGGTTGTTGGAAAAATCATGATGTGTTTTTCTGTACAAAAATGCTTCATGACTTTTCTAACAGCCCAATATTTCTCTATTTAGTAACGCTTCCTACTTAGCAGTATTTGGCTACTTTGCTTAAGTTTGGATGTAAAAACTAAATATTTTTCCTCAAGTGACCATTGTCATTAATTAAGAAAGGAAAATTTGTCCAAATTATTGACTTTTTTAAAACTGAAAGTGTATTTTTTAAAAATACAAGAACTATCCCTACAAACTGGTAGCCCATGAATTAATATTACCCTCAAAATGTGTCTTGCTCAGCAGCATTGGGAGGGTCATTTACTTGTTTGGCCTTTTCTTGTTATGGTAAACCTACCTTTCCCTGGCTCTGAGTCTTGATTCCTCCTTTTCACTGGACATGCACTCCCAGTTCCCCAAGCCCTCCCTGTTGTCACATACCCAATTCACTTCACCCTTCTAGTTCACTGGCCTGGCTGCTGTAAACCTCTTGGTTTGTGACCCTTTGCTGATGGAGAAACACACCTCTGTTGTTTTAGTTCATTGATGTATTCCCTGGAGTGGTGGTAGGCATATAGTCGGCCCTCCAAAAAGGGTGTGACTCACTGACTGAAGACCAACTGTGAATACCCTAAAAATGCCTCTCCTTTCATGGGTCTTGCTGACACTGGCCCGCTGCCCTACCTTTCAGAGTATACTTAGAGTCCACTGCTCTCTCTTCCTAACTTCATTAGCTCCAAACATTCTTTGATATGGAGAACTCATTTTTCTGTGCAATGTTCAATAAGGCAGAAACAACTTTCCAAACGTATTACTGCTGAGCCTCCCTACTATGAAAATTTTATAGCCAACAATCTCAGAGATTCTGATTCAGAAGTTAGAGATGAGTTTCAGGAATTTCTATTTTAATATCCAAAGTGGTTCAGATTTTGAAACCGTGGCTCTAAGGCCTGGAGAACTTCTACGTTAAGATATTGACAAGCATGAACACAGAAGCCTGAGGAACACTGTTTATCTTACCCTAGAAGAAGAATACAGTAACTTAATTGGGAAAGCTAGATATGGCCCATGGTTTCCTGTAAGAGACTCTTATCATTTTGACATTAAACAAAGAGATATGTTTCAGTCGATCATAAATCTGTGCCCTCCCACAGATTGCCTTTTCATGCTCTCTCACTGATTCTGTGACTCTGATCTAAGGACTCTGCAGGCTTGTATTCAATTCACACCCACTTTGTTTAAGCCGTTAAGTCCGGCAATTGGGCAGCTGCAGTAAAAATTCTTACCTGAAGCCTAGGGTTGCAGTCCAAGATGTTTCTCCTTAGGCTCAGTAACTCAAGATGACACCAAATGCTACATAAAATGAGAAAGGTTTTTATACCAATGTAGAAATATCTTTAAGATATAGTATTATATTGAAAGAACACAGAATAGTATATGCTATCATTTGTATTTTTTAAAAAAAAGAAAAAATAAGAACATGCACATACATACACACACACACACACACACACATATACACATGGCAAGGGCAAGAGGAGACAAGGTCATGCTCTTTCTTCCCTTCCCTCCCTGCTTCAGTGCCTCAGGTCTAAAAGTGCCTACAGACCTCCTCGTCTGGGCTCCTTCTGGATGCTCCCCCCTGCCTTTTTTTTTTCCCCAATAAGCCTATTCCTCTTATTAAAAAATCCAGTCAGAGGCAGTAACTATTGCTAGTATCTGCGGTAGGTATAATTATTATCCCATCTAATTGGTGAGACAACGGAGGCATGGTCATGGACCCAAGATTGAAACCTACATATTCTCACCCAAGGCTGAGCTTTTTTAACCATAACATAATATTATTCACAGATATTTATCTCTAAATCATTTATATTAAAGTTTATATGGTAGATGCTATTTAAGAGAAAAATCACATGGTGATAGGAGAGAAAATAAGACAAAAGACAGACTTTAGTTAGTGGGGATGTGGGAGCGGCATTCAGGAAAGGCCTTTCTAAGAAAGTAACATTTAAGCTGATACCCAAAAGGGGATGGTTGTTAGTGTGGCTGGGGTCTGGGAGAAGAATATCTTCAGCTTGTGCAGAAAAGGCTCTTAAGAAAAGAAAGGTTGGGTCCAGTAGATGGTGTAATGGTTACATCACTGCATGCCTATGTAGTCGACTGCGGTTTGAGTTCTGGACCTGGTGGCTTAAAATTCATGCTTGGCATGTGTGCATGCATACTCAAAATCCTGAGAGGAGAATGGAGGAGAATGGAGGAGAAAGAATTGCGGTGTTGCCATCTTCCCAGGGGGTGATTTCTCACTTTCTGTCTGTCACTCCAGAGAGCACACACACCCTACAGCAAAAATCTCTCTTAATAAAGGGAAGGGGGGTGTGCTGTGGCAGGCAGTGGGGCAGGAGATTGATCACAGTCAGTTTCAAAAGTCCAAAAGAATTTCTATATTTCCAAACATTCAAGATGAAATAGAGACAGAAGAGATCATCGACATTTCCAAGCAAGGGAAAACCTATTTTATCTCTCTATACCAGTTCCAGAGCAATCACATGGATATGGTAAAATTGCTTTTGCCTGAAGAAATTTATTCACTTCTCAAAACATCCTGGAATATTCATCAGCCTGGTGAGGGTGACATTTGGGAGGCCTCTTCAACAGGGGAACTTGATCTCATCTTCATGTCAGGTCTTGGGTTTGACCAGCATGGTAACTGGCCAGGGAAAGGCGGGGGCTACTGTGACACCTAGCTGAGGCCTGTCTGCAGCAAAAGGGAGAGAAAACCTACACCGTGGCCTTGGCTTTCAAAGAGCAGATTTTCCTCCAGGTCCCAGTGGATGAGAATGACATGAAGGTAGATGAAGTCCTTTATGATGACGTCAGCATCTTAAGTCCAATTGACTACAGCCAGCTATCTGTGTTTTGGACCAGAGTAAATGAAAATCTATGTATCTCCCCCTTGTCAAAAATTAGTCAAAACTGCACATTAATGTGATATGGACTGAGTTTTTAAAAATGTAATTATAAATACTTAACATACAGCCATTTTAAAAATCAACAGAAATGTGAATGAATAACAACATATTAATTAAAATGGAGGCTATCAGGGGGGAAAAAAAGAAGAGAAAGAACTTGGGGCCAGCAGGTGGCATGATGGTTAAGGTGTGGGACTCCCACGTGGCCAGCTGTGATTCTAGTCCTAGACCTGGAGGCTTGCTTTCTCTCTTTGTCTCTCCCTCTCTCTCTATGTCTCTCTCTCTGGTGAGTGTGTGTGCACTGCAGCAAATTAAAAAATCATGATAAAATTAAAAAGAGAGAGAAGGAACTCAGCCTGTCCAAAGGGAGGCTGATGGAGTAGTATGTTTGGATTACAGAGTTTAAGTGAATCCAGACAGGCGACAGGAATCACTCAGGACCAGACTAGCAAGAGTAACTTGGTTCTTAGAGGATCAGGAAACCTCTGGAGAGAAATAATGCCATCTAAATTCGCATGTTACGAAGATCACTCTGGCTGTAGCATGACAAGATTTGAGATGGGCATAATAATAGTGGAAACGGTGAAATTATTTAGCAGTTTATTGCAGTAGCTCTGGTGAGAGAAGATGGAGGGTTGAACCAAGATACTGCAATGAGAATGAGAAGGGGTCAGAGCTCAGGTATATGTTACAGGTGAAATTAATAAGATTTGACAGCTGGTTGGATGTGATTGGTGAGACAGGGAAGTGTCCAAATGCACTCCTGGCACCATTTGCTACTAAAACGGCTTGGTTAGCCACCCAATACCCTTTTTAGATGAACCTAAATTTAGCTCTGCTTATCTTCACTACCAGCAAAACCACAAACCCAGTGTGAAAGATTAGATTTCTTTTAAGTGCTGTGCAGATATCACCACACTCTAGAACAAGTAGATTCTGTGAGCCAGTGAGGACTTAATTATTACTTAACAATATTCTCTGTGGGCAACTGTATTTGCAGTCAACTAGAAAATGAGCCCATTGAGCATAATCTATTTGATAGTTGGAATTAGCTTAATAAAGAAAAATGTATGGTTTACATCTAATTTGTGTTTCCCAGGCCTGTCAGAGAGTTTTCCATGCCAAGAGGAGCCAACACTTTCTGCTACTGTGCAAAAGCAAATGTGATCGTCACTGGAGGTAAGAGGATAGTTTATTGACACAGAGATTTTCTGCTTTGCAAACAGTGCTCCCCTTGAGTTTTGCTGTTAGGAGACTCTTTTTAGGGAATTAAAAAAAAACTTGCATAAAGTCAAATCTGTCTTTTTCTTTGTGGCTTCTGGATTCGATGGTACACTTAGGAAAGACTCTCTAGGCTCAAGGCTACATGAAACGAATTGTCCTGTATAGTCTATCATTTGTTTTCAATGTGTTTTATATATTGGGTTGTCAGAAAAGTCCTAATACGTTTTTGCATAGAAACATAGCAAAATACATCATGAATTTTCTGACAAACCCATATTACTTTCAAAGGTTGAGTCCATCTAGAACTTTTTATGTGTGAGACCTTGAATTTCTAGACTTTAGAGGAGTCCTGAAACCCTCTGAAGCAGAATGACATTTGTGTCTGTGCACTTGTCTGCAGAGAAAGTCCAAAATTTTAATAAATTCACTAAAAAAGTCCATGACCAAAAAGGTCAAGAGCCACTGGTTTAGGATTAATAGAGAAGAAGGCCATGGATGGACTCTTGAAGAATATCAATATTTGAGAGATGCATAAGGTAGAAGATAAGGGAAAAGGCCATCTGCTGAGAGCGAAGAGAAAAAGTGTCAAGGGAAAAACAGGACTGAAATTTTCTTTGAAACTCAGACCCCTCATCTACAATACTGGAGTTTTGTTAATAATACACTGTGGTGGGGGCTGGACTGGTGCAGCAGTAGGATAAAAGTCTCTGCAAGGCTGACCTACATGGGAAGGCTCTGGGTTCACATCTGGAGACCTCTCTGAGTGTATTAAGCATGTGCACACCCATGATTGGGGGCTGGCTGAATCTGGGGGTGGACTGTGGTATCAAGACCCTGCTGGGGGTGCTGACTTTCTCTTTTTTCTCTATCCGTCTCTCTTTTTCATGGAAGAAATAAACTTCAAAAAAATTAAGCAAAAAAACTAAACAATTAAAAAATATACATATCAGGACCAGCAGATGGCATGGTGGTTAAGGTGCTGGACACTCCCACATGGCCGACCAGGGTTCGAGTCCTGAATCTGGTGGCTTGCTTTCTCACTTCCTTTCTCTCTCACTCTCACCCTCTGTCTCTCTCTGGTCAAATTAAGAAATAAATGAATGAATGAATAAATAAATAAATAAATAAATAAAAATAAAATAAAATATCTGGGTTCAGGAGTCAGATCATTTTTTATTTTTTAAAGAATAATCGTTTGACTTTATTATTATTAATTTTTAATTTGACAGAGAGAGGGAAAGTGAGAAAGCAAGCTACAGGACTAGGACTTGAACTGTGGTTGGCCATGTGGGAGTCTAACACTTTAATCACTATACCACCTGCCGGCCCCGGGAGTCAGACTCTTTAGGTACAAGTTCTGGCTTTCTCACTTTCAAGCTATGTAATAGGTAGGTTATTTACACCTTTCAAAATCAGCATCGTCATATGAATAAGATTATTACAATAATAATGTTATTACAAGAATTTAATGTGGGTAAAGTATTCAGCACAGTATCTTGCACAATATAAAGTAAGAGTAAAATATAAGTTTGTTGATAATAATACCAACAGTAATTATTTTTAAAAAGCCTACTTCATATGGTGATATTTTAGATTCATTGAGATCATATGCTGGGTACATAGTAGGTTCTCAATCAATATTAATTCAATACATCTAAACACATACACAAAATCACTTTGGCATACATGTGGGGGATTTGTTGGAATAAACTAAAATCTGAGAGTCTGTTCAGAAAGCTGTTTCAAAAGATAACAGTGAGATGAAGAGGGTCTGAATTAGTGTGGATGTCGTAGATAAAGAAATGAGCCAATCCCAAAGACATGAGAAATAAATTATTCATAAGACTTGAAGACAGAATGATATTAGCGTCTGGAAAGAGATTAACTAGCTCCAAAACTTTTTTTTTTTTTAGAGAGATTTTTGCTATAGGGAATGTGCCAGAAAGACAGAGGCAGAGAGACAGAAAGTGAGAAATCATCCCTCAGGGGGGATGGCCATGCCGCAATCCCTTCCCCTCCATTCTCCTCTCGGGATCTTGGGCACACACGTACATGCGCCCGGCGTGAGTTTAAGCCACCAAGTCCAGGACTTGAACCATGATTAACTACATGAGAGTCCAGCGACATAGCCATCACACCACTGCGGTCCCACTCCAAATTTTTAAAGTGGGATATATGAAAAATAGGAGTCATGTTGATAGTTAAACACAAATTAGGAAACATGCACTTACATGCACAAGGAGAGAAAACAAAAGCTCGATTTTGAACTTAAATGTTAAATGTCAATTAGACATTGAAGAGGATATTCTCTTCAGTGACAGTAGAGATCTGGTTAGAGATGTGGAATTTTAGGGCTTCTCAAGCTGCCTGTATGTGGGAGAAGATAAGCTCTCAGATGCTATGCAAGATTGTATTCTATATAAAAACAGGAGATAAAGAGATATGTAGACTTGAAATCTATAAAGGGGCAAAGCAGAAACAAATGAACATCAAGAAAGTGGCTTGAATAGGAGACCTGGACTTTAACAAAGAAAGAACAAAAAAGATTTAAAGATAAAACTTTGTCATGAAAAAAAATCAGTAATTGTGCCATTTGGCAAAAGAGTTTATAGCAAATATACCCATTAAGGAGCCAAGATACAAAGTGAGTAAGTGCTAATGGCCCCTTCTGGCCATGATTCCTTCAAATTCCTTTACCCATAAACACACAATAGGCAATGTTTACTTCCCTACCTAGTACACCCTACCTCATCCCTGGAGGGCAGATACTGTAAATGTAAGAAAACTGAGCTCCTACTATATTCGGTGTTTGGGTACTCTCCACCGAGAGCATTAAGTTGGTTTATTTTTCAAGCATACTACGCATTCAAATTTATATTTAAAGCTATGCTCTCCTTTAAGCCTTCTACATCATTTACTTGGAATCAGCTTATGGTTCACTCATAAGTACAAACATAATATTATGTGCCAATAATAGTTCATTTGAAAACACAAAAAAATAAAAACTGCATGAGAAGTTTGGTAATAGCCTGGCCACTGGCCAGGGGATACATTCTCTTTCCCCCTCTTTGTCTCTCTGTCTCTCTCTGGTAAGCATATGGGGCTTTTCACAATAATAAAATAATAATAATAAAAGGCTCCTGACTAAGGTCTAGACACATAAAAGGACAAATGCTATAATTAGACGTTTACATTTTTAAAATGAAAAAGAAATGGGATGCTGTATTATGATTTCCTATTCCTAACTGCCTCTTCTTGGGTTGGTGCTACCTTGGCTTATCACTTGCAATGGATGCAAACACACTTCCTGGCCTGGATCATAGAAAGGAGGAGGCTCCAGGAGATGAGGAAGGAGAGCCTAGAGGTGAGGAGAGAGCAAGTAGCACACAGGCCTGAGACGCCAACTGCAGAGTGCTGCCTGCTCCACTGCCCATGGTCTGTTAGGTAAACATTAGCTCCAGCCTACTCCAGTTCAAAACCTGCACACATGACTCTTCAAAAAAGCAGTGTGTAAATACATGACCAAGTGAGATTTGAGTTCTAAAATCTGGGTGTTCTGAAAAAATGTGCTGTCATATTAATCTTCACCAACTCCTCTGGACAGCACTTTGTTCTCGCATAAAAGATACAAAACCTAAGAATGGGCTTTGTAATCTTATAATCACACACGTTGTAATCTTAAGTATTTTAATCACTTACCAAAAATAATGTATTTGGTAAATTCTGGGACTTGAATCACTTCAGTGTTTATAGAGTAAAGCATCTGACTCTCATTAACCTCAGTGTTCATTGTAAGATCTCCGTCCACAGATTTGAAAACTTTTAATTACAGTTTCTCTAGATCTCTCAAAAGGCAAGGAGATGTTTAACAGTATGACTGATGAGCAACTAATACTTTTCACCATGCATAATTTATTGAATTGTCACAGATATGGAGCCTCTATTAGTAGAAATTACAAATCCTCAATAATTAAAACACATTTTTCTCAGGAGAATATTCTTGTTGATGATTCAGCCAAGCAAGTGTACGGTATATACCATCTGACAACTCAAAATATACAATGAAAGCAGTTTTGCTAGGCATAGCCAAATGTGTTAAATGTGTAGGGACATTTCAGGGTCATAAAAACACAGAAGTTCTTGTGCAGGGAAAGAAAAAAACAAAAAAGGCCAAACCAGGACAAGGTATTTATAAACAAACAAATAAACAAACAAAACACAAATCTTCTGAATATTATTTCAGTGACTCTCAAGTTTTTTTGGCCTCCACAATGCTGTAGCCCCTTGGAAAGATACTAGGTTCACATTCTGAGGTCTTCCTGTACATACTGGGTGCATGTGCATGCCTATGATCTGGCTGGTTGAGGCTGGGGGTGGATCATGGCATGAAAGACCCTGTTAGGGGTCTCTTTTTCTCTTGAAAGAAAAGAATGAATAAATTGTCTTTAAAAAGAATTGTTTTACCCAATAGTTGTATTCACTAGCCATTGTAAGAATTAAGCTCCTTCTATGGAGGGTCCAGTGTATTAAAATACTTATCTGTAATATAAGACATTTTGGGTGCTTTGCATGCATTTTTCATGTATTTATTAAATATAAATATTTTTGAACAAGTGCATCTTTATAAACCTTATAAAGATCAGGTTGTGGGGTGGTAGTTAAGGTACTGGACTCCTACATGTTGACCGTGGTTCAAGTCCTGGACCTGGTGGCTTGCTTTCTCACTTCCCCTCTTTCTCTGTCTGTCTGTCTCTCTCTTTCCTAACACTTAAGAATTCAATATCTAATAGTACAAATAAGATGAGTCTATAGACAACTATAATACAGTAAGTGTGAGTCAACAGATGATAATGATAATAACAATAATAGAGATGAAATACTGTAGGCATTGAGAGCTTAGTATCATGTCCTTTTCTGTTCATTCTGGCTCCAAAAAACCACCACACAGACTATGT